CTCCCCTCCTCCACGACCTGCAGCCCCACCACTCCCCTCCTCCGCTGGGGGCCCCGCCAGCCCCGACCCGCAGCCCCCTGGTGCTATTCCAGTCCTGGGCTCTCCCCCACCCCAGCTCTGCTGGGGCCCCTCAATCCCAACCGACAATGCCCCGTCTCAGTCAGAGACCCCCAGGGTTTGAAGCAGGGTCCCCCCCGCTACGGGCTGGTAATTACGCAGAGGAGTCCCAGCCCTGCTCTGCCTTCTAGGGGGGCCCCTTGGGCAGCAGGACCATGGTGCGGGCAGGGGAGCAAGGGCAGCTCTTAGCCAGCTCCCCCTGCGCGTCACCCACCCTCTCCCGGAACGTGCTCACTGGCCGAGCCCCTCCCTCCGCCCACAGCCGATCTCAACAGGAGACACCCCAGAGCCATGTCCTGTAGCCCGCGCTCCTACGCACCTCCACCAGGGGGCAGCAGCCCCAGGCCCCCGTGGACAGCCGGCAGCAGGTGTTGCCGTCAGGACAGCTGGTCTGCTCGTCGCAGGGAACCTCTCGAGCTGGGGAGCGAGACCCAGTGGTCAGAGCCAGACCCTTCCTCTGGGCTGTGACAGGATGGGGCCCAATGGGGCTTGTGGCCCCAGGGCAACCTCGGGAAGTGCCCACCCCACTGTGAGCGGGTGGAGGCCCTGGGGGCAGGAAACCCTGGGGGCAGCGTCCGGCTCCCTCTCTCCACTCCCACTGGGCTGTGCCACTCCACTGCCGAGGGAAGGGTCCCTGGTCCCCAGCCACCTGGCACTGCTGCTCCAAGGGGGTGGCAAGGTCCCAGAACCTGTGGGGCATTATCAGAGCATCCCTTTCCCCTCCCCCCCCCTCCTACCTCTCTCGGCGGTGTCCAGGAGCTGGGTGAGAGGCTGCGTCTGGCCCAGCGTCGAGGCACATGTTGAGTGGGGCAGGTCGCAGGTGGTGCCCTGGGGGCAGCAGTGCAGGCGATCGCTGCAGCACACGGCCTGGAGTGCCAGGGAAGAACCCGGGCCCAGTTAGACCCATTGTACGGCCAGGGCCCCGGGGCAGGAGCCACTGGTGGGGTGGGGTGGGGCGGGGCATGTCCCCAGGGGCTCAGCGCCAGCCCGTCACGAGGAGGCGCCTGCAGGCGGAAGCTTGGCTGGCAGAGCCCCCTAGGCCCCAGCCATTTCTACAGCATCTTCCCTGGGCTCACCCAGCGCCCAGCAGTGCTGAAAAGCAGCCACTTCGGGGGAGCGGGACCAGCTAGGGGACAGAGCCCAACAAGTGGAACTTCTGACATGCCCAGAGCAGCCTGAGGGAACCCGCCTGCCCAGCCTGGCATGAACCTGGCACCCAAGGCTCAGCACAGGGAGGTGACTCCTCCCGGTGGGAGTCACGCCCAGTCTGGGGCAGATACCAGGGGAGGCAGCCATGTGGGCAGATCGCTGGTGCCAGTCCCGAGGCAGGAGACAAGCGACAGCGCAGTCTGGCTGGCCGCCTGCTGAGAGACATGGCGCAGAGTGCCAGGTGCCCCGTTATGTGCAGTGAGATGCCCACCTGGGGGGTGTCCCTGCCCCAGCAGCCTGCCCCCCTCCCCCCGGCCTGGTTCTCTCCTCTCCACAGGCCTGGCGCAGCGTTGTAGCGGGGGCTGGGTTTAACCCACCCAGGGGCGCAGGATGCCAGACCGGGCTCTGCAGCATCTCTGTGCCATGGGGCAGGCATCAATCCGAAAGGGGCTGGCACAGTGGGGCACAGACATCCCAAGTCATGGGAGGCGCCTGGCTGCCCTAGGACACCACCAGGAGGGGCAGAGGGAACGGGCAGCTCACAGAATACCCTGGGGGGGCGGGGGGAAGACGACACACGTAACACACGCCCTGCCCTGCCCGCCCCATCCTCACTCACGTTCTGCAGTGGGCAGCAGCCGTACTGGCTGGTGGGCAGCTGGCAGCATGTGGTGCCGTCCGGACACGCTGACCGGTGGTCAGGGCAGGTGATCGCGCCGAGCGAGACTGGGGAGGGCAGGGGAAGGGAGATCAGGGGGGCACAGACCAACACCCCCCAGCGGCTGCTCCACCAGGGCCCTGAAGGCACCTGCCACCCCACAGGCCTCTGCACCGGCTGCAGGTAGGGCCCCTGGAGCAGGCTTGGGGGCACCTCCTACCATGGGGGCTGTGCCTCCACATGGGGTGAGCTCTTAACCCAGCTCTGGGGGTAGCCATTGCTCTCGGTACCCGACTCCTCTTCACAGAGCAGCTGGGGGGGTGTCCTACTGAATGTACACAGCACATCCACCACTGCAATGCAGCCACCTCTGGGGGTGGCATGGCTGATGTCTAACAGCGCACAGGAAGGGAAGCAGACCCTGGCTGTACAACTCCCACCCCCCTCCCCCCCCCACACACACCCCACCACCCAGGATCCCAGGGCCGTCTTGGCTGCCAGAGCAGCCCTGTAAAGAGTGTCTTCCATGATGATGCGGGGCAGGGGGCTGCCCAGGGGTTTAGGCCAGGGCAGTGCCCGTAGCACAGCACCCCCTAGACAAGGGGCTGGCTCACTCCTCCAGCCAGGGTGTGGGGCCCAACGCAGAGGACCCCACACGGCACGGGGAGCCCAGGCCCTCCAGCCTGCTCCCGTAGGACCGCTCCCCACCCCCTGGCCATGCCGTACCTGGCACTCCCTGCCACGGCGCTCGCTTCTGGGCCGGCACCTTGCTGCCCAGGGGCTGCTCCCCAGCGGCTGAGAGGCAGCGGGCACGTTCCAGGTCACAAGTGGTGGCATGGGGGCAGCAGTGCACTTTGTCCGCGCAGCAGGCGGCCTGCCAGAGATATGGGGCGTGGCAGAGCAGAGGGGAGCCAGCAACTCCCCCAGCTCCCTCTCTCGCCGGCCCCCAGGCCAGCTCTGCCTGGCCCCCCTCCTCGACCCACATGGCACCCAGGTCAACCCCCAGCACACCCTCACATCAGCGCCTCGCCCTGGGCTTGGCACAGCTGCCCCAGAACCAACCCTTACCCACGGCCCCCTGTATACGAGTCCTGCCCCCCCCACCAACCCATGGTCCCCTGTATCCCAGCCCCACCCCTGCCAACCCACAGCCTCCTGTATCCCAGGCCCACCCCTGCACCCCCAACTGAACCATGGACCCCCATATCCCAGCCCTGACACCCACCTACCCATGGCTCCCTGTATCCCAGCTCTGCCCCCCAGCCAACCCACAGCCCCCTGCATCCCAGCCCTTCTCCCCCACGGTCCCCTATATCCCAGCGCTGGACTCCCTGCACAACCTCCCCCCACCCCCCAAGCCCTCTTCCTGCCATCTGGTACCTGTGGCATGGGGCAGCACCCCCAGGAGCCAGTGGGCATCATGCAGCAGGTGGACTCATTGGGACACTCTGATTCGCCATCAGGGCACTGGACAGCACCAGCGGCTGGGATACCTGCCAAGAGCACGGCCAGCGCCTGGCACTCAGCAGGGAGAAGCCAGGGCAGCTCTTTCCTCAACCCCTCGCCGCAGGCAGAGCCACTCGGCAGACACCACCCGGGCAAGCAAGCAGCTCCAGCTGGCACCTTCTGGTGAGCTGGTGGAGTCTCTTGCTCCAGAGCCCTCCCCGGGGGAGTCCAAGACCCACTGGGACCTGGGGAGGGGAATCCACCAGCCCCTGCCCCCCAGTACTATGGGAAACCTCCTGCTACAGACTCTGCCCCCCACAATCCAACAGCTGGAGGACAAGAAGCCAAGCCCTCCCGCACCAGTGCAGCCAGGCACGTGGCGTGGCCGCTAGAGGGCGTCATGAGCTGCTGGGCACTGGGCAGAGCTCCTGGCATCGGGCAGAGCCCGGTCGGCACCAGACCCGGGGCCAGAGGCTCAGTGCCAACAGGGTCCCCTTGTGTCGTACAGCATCCACGCTCGGACGCAGGGGCCCAGGACACCCGGAGGGCATGTCGGTCCCCCCCGACCCCACCTCCGGCCCCATACCTGGGAGCACAAAGCAGGATTTGCCGTCGGCATTGCAGTGGGAGCCCCGGGGGCAGCAGTGATGCCCGTCGGCGCAGGCGACGGCCTGAGGAGAGACAGAGGAGATGGCTCTGGGTGGCACAGCCAGCATATCCCTGAACCCCAGGACAGGCGACGGGGGCTGGGAGCAGCCACATGGGCCACGGGAATGCACCCAAGGCAGATGGACACCAGCACCAAGCAGCTCCAACCCCTTGACCCCAACAGTATCCCCCCACATGGGGAAACTGAGGCACAGTGAGGGGACAGGACTCGGTGGCAGAGGATGGGGAACAGAAGCCAGGGGTCCTGAGACCCCCGGTTCTAAGCACTGGAGAAGGGCTGCTTCCCCCAGGCCAGAACAAACGCTGCCCACTCCACTGGAGGAAGGACACGCAGTTGGGCAGCACCAGGCTGTCCTGGGCTGGGGGGATGTGGTGGGGTCAAAAGGAAAACACCCAGCCCTTGACCAAGCAGGAGAACAGGACTAGGGGAGAGCCACAGCTGTGCCCTACAATCCACTCTGCAGCCGGTAACTCCCGGCACTGTACCGCCCCCACGCCTTCTACTCCCACATGGGCACCACGGACCAGCCAGCCCCATGTCCTGTCTGCAGCAGGGGCCAGCCCCAGATGAACCAAGAAGCCCCACAGTAGTAGCTGTGGGATAATCTGGCCCCCCAGGAAGGCTCATCCTAATCAGAGTCGGGCTGAAGCCCCGAAGGAGGTCTGAGCTCCCGTCTGTGATAGCAGCAACGGTGACAACTCAGGATGTCCCTGGGACCCACAGAAACAGCCAATCCCTTCTTGGTCTCAGTGACGGCCTGCAGCAGGGAGTTCCACAGTGTAACTAGGCCCTGGGTGGAAGGTATTTCCACTGCCCACCAGGGGAGACCCCTCTCCCCCCACCATGCCTACAGGCAGGGCCTGAACCAGCCTGGCAGCTGGCCAGGAAGCTCTCTGGGGAGAATGGCCCAGCCCGGCAGCCCCCCATGGGACTGTGGGTACAGCCGCTCACATCCCAAGTACAAGCTGGAGGCCCCCACCCCCCGGGCAAGGCGCTTACCTCCGACAATGGGCAGCAGCTGAAGGAGCCGGCCGACGTGCGCAGGCAGCTGTATTCCGCGGGGCACTGGGTCCCATCGGGGCACATGGGCCCGGCAGGCTTGGCCACGCTGCTGGCCTGGGTCATAGGCAGGGAGCCCTGGTGGAGGAGGCAGAGGGTGAGGGGGATGCAGTGCAGGGAGCCCAGAGCACAATGGCCCCCAAAATCACCCGCTGGCTCCTGGTCAAAGCAGGGGGGCTGAGTCATGGCTTGGGGGCAGCCAGTCTAAACTGCCTTGGGCAGACCCTCAAACACCCCCAGATCCCACCCCAGGGGTGCTGGGCTCTCAGTGGGGGAGGTGTACAGCAAGCGCTCACAGCCCGGGCTGGGAAGGGCACCTGGCACAGACATGTCTGCTTTCCACGTTGGGCACCAGTGCCACCAGGAGAGTGCTGGCGGGCAGGTCCCGTCCCCTTGGCTGGCCTGGTTGGGGGCCCAGCTCACCGGGGCAGCTGAGACAGGGCAGGAGACCCCTGAGCTTCGGCGGTTTCTACCCATTATCAGCTGGGGGTTTTAACCCTGGTGTCTAGACCAGGGGCTGCCCCCCTGCACGCAGAGCTCAGGGCAGGGAGCCCTGTTCACTCCCAGACAGTGGGCCCAGGCTGCTCCAGAGGACACAAAGGGACTGGATTGCACCCCCGTGGGGGAAGGGCCCCAGCACCCAGTGCGGGAGGGTTAACCACAGCTTCCCGGCAGGCCGGGGTGGGGCAGCAGATGAGGCAAGCACGGCAGTAAATCACAGCCAGGTTCTGCAACATGGCTTCCGCCGGGGATCTGGGTTATGACAATGCTCCCCCCGAACCCGGGCCCTTCCTCCCGTCCTCAGGAGCGACTCCCTCCACACCCCTCAGCCTCGCTGCCCCCAGCCACGAGAGCAGCTCAGCCCCTGCAGCGTCCCGCCAGCTGGGGCACTCGGGCGCTGGCCAGAGACCCAGCGAGCTTGCTCCACGCAGGCCAGAGCGGCTGGCTCTGCACGGGGGGGCACCACCACCAGTGGCACGGGGAGGGCGAAACCCAGGCAGAGAGACCTTCACCGCCCATAGCCTTCGCCAGGGACGTGACACAGACACTCACCAGAGACGGGGGGCAGCAGGCGTAGCCGTCCCCTCCGGGATCCCGGCAGCAGACGTCAAGCCCCTGGCACAGCCGCCCATCAGGGCACCGCAGGGAGGCCACCGCTCCTGACAGCGCCAGCCACAATGGCACGAGCAACCACATCCTTGGGGCGAGAACCTGCAAGTGACCAGCCAACAGCTGCTCAGCCGCCTCATCCCACCACGTCTCCTGGGGCTCCTGGCTTTAACTCTGAGCCGCCAGCTGGCTTTGGGGCTCGGCAGAACCCCAGACACAGCTGGGGGGAGGGAAGCAGGACTCCTGGGTTCTGTCCCTGGCTCTGCTCCTGACATGCTGTGCAACCAGGGACAAGTGGAGTCATTCCCCTGCCTCCGTGCCTAGGTTTCCCCATCTGTAAAATGGGGGTAAGTACTTACCTTTGCCCCCACCCCTGAACCAGAAGACCCCACTGCACAAAAGCAGCCACAACACCAGCCCCAGCCCCCAGCAGGCCACTTCCCCAGCCAGGGCCTCCCGCCCCCTCCGGAAGCTGTTCTCTGGCACCAGCCTGCTTCTAGGTGAGGGCCCTGGCTGCGCTGGTGACCCCACGGCTGCACGGAGCAGCTGGTTGGACCAGCGGGTCCCAGCGCTGGGGGTGGAGGCTGTGGTTCAGGTGCGGTGTCACACCGGCTGTCCCTCCCACTCCTCTCCGGCTGGAACCCACCAGCACAGCAGCTGCCCCTGTTGTGACACTGCCTCGTGCCCAACCGCGCCCGGGGAAAGCCCCCACAGGCCGCACTGCCGCCTTACGCTGCTCAGAGCTGCTGGCGCGATGCAGGGTTCAGCTGGAGAGGGCTAGGACCTGGCAGCAGCCTCCGCCCCCTCGCTGATGGGAACCAGCCCTGGGAGAGGATCAGTGACCAAACCAGCCCCACGGCCCAAAGTCCGGGCCGATAAGAGCTTCTACCCAGAGCTCCAGCCTGGCCCCCTCCCCCAGCGCTGCGGCTCCAGTGGGGATCTGGCCGCAGGCCAGCAGAAACACGGATGCAGCAGAGAGGCGGAAACGTGAGCCGTGTATCAGGGCACAGCAGCTTGGGAAGCAGCTGGGCCTGTCCGAGACGCGTCTGCCCCCTCCTCCCCCCGGCTTCACAGCCCCTTTGAGCTAGAGCAGTGCAGGCCAGTGCTTAATACACAGAGCCAGGACTCTGGAGTCCTATTCCGGCCCACAGCCCTCTCCTGCCCTGCTGTGAGCTGACGAGGCCCATGACCCCGGCCAGGGAGGGGCCGGACGGCTCGTTCGGGCTGGAAGAGACTAGCCACACTCCCTGCCTGCTGCAGGTGACTCTGGAGTCACACCTGGGTGAACCAGGCCCACTGCCACTCAGCCATGGGTCCCGCTAGGCTGGGTCCCACGTGTAACCATGGCACAGGCCCACAGGCTGGCCAGGCAGGGTTTGTATTGAGACCAGGGAGGTGCTGAGAGGGCAGGTGGGTGGGCGGGTGGCGTGGGCACACACAGCTCACTATGTTCCTGTAGCGCCGCTGGGGCCCGGGGAAGCGCTCACACCCGCACGCCTGCCAGCAGGGAGGGGTGGCTACAATTTGCTCGGTACAGGTGTCCCCTGGACAGAACTCATGGGGGGGGGGGGGGGGTTGGAAAACCCCCCCCCCCCCCCCGCACTGTGTTCACGGCGCCCCCCAATGGCAGGCAGAGCCAAGTGCCCATTGGGTCAGGCGGGGAACATCTCCACCTGCCTGAATTCAAGAGACGAGCCCTGAACAGGGGGACAGGCGTCGCTCACCCCCCCCCACCCCCGGGAAGGCCCTCAGAGACGGGGGGGGTGTGGTGTGGTGTGGTGTGGGATAGCGCTGAGCAGGCCTGGCCCGGAGCCATGACTCGTCTCCCCGATCTCCCCCTGCTCCCCAGTGCTCTCGATCCTGGAACCAGAGCCCCAGCATTGGCTGGGCCAGGCCTGACGACACTGCCCAGAGCAGGCCCCCACCCCCTGCCAGCCCACCAGAGCTGCAGAAGTGTCACTCCATGCGGCCAGGGAATCCTTGTCCCATCCTGCTCCCAGCCGCCCCTCTCATCAGCAAAGCACAGGGGCCCCCCCGCAGAGTCCTGCTGGGACAGAGATCAGGGTTCGCTTGCCTCCATCGGGGGTGGGAGGAGGCGTCTCACCCGGCCCCTGCCCGTGGGCATGGAGACGTGTACCTGCCCTTCACCTGGCTCCAGCAGCTGCTTGCGCCTCTAGCAGCATTCGCCTCATGCACTGTAACCACGAGATGCAACCCTCAGCCACGGCTCCCCGATAGCATCGTCTGGCGGTGCAGGAGCCCTGCACGCGGCCCTCACCTCATGCCACAGCCCACGGGGACGGCTCAGCCTGCTGGGGCACTACAGCCCCCCAGCAGCTGAGCGGAGCAGACGCAGTTCTGTCCTGTCCCCCCCACACACACAGCGCCGCTGCGTAGACAGCTCGGTGTTTGCTCATGGGGCAAATCAGGGCCAGATCCCCTCCTCCCTCAGGAGAGCAACCCCCTGGCACTGGGCCTCTCACCCCGCAAGTCCCCCTCTGCGCCTGCAATGCTGCACCCTTGGCCCCCAGCAGCCAACTCAGCCTGGAGAGCCTGGGCCCAGCACCAGGGCTGCTCCGCGCCAACACGGGGACAGACCCGCACCAACGGGGAGGGCTCTGCGCCAGGTACCAGAGCGGCTGGGAGTCAGACACCTACCGGCGAGAGCAGGCCCCCCCGCACACGCTCTCGCTTCCCCTCCGCCCACACGCTTCCCCGTGCCTGCCAGCCAGGCCTGGGAGTCTGGTTCTGGATCCCCCCCGCCTCCAGCCCAGCGCTCTTGTCAGCAGGCAGGAGAGGCAGGTCACAGCCAGACAGGGCGATAAGCACTTGTGGGAGAGCAGCCACCACGGACTGTGTGCGAGGCTCTGGGTGACGGTGTGGTTAGCTAACCCCCCCGCCCTGCTCATCACCGATGTTATCGCCGAGCCTGAGAGTGCGAGCCCTGGCGGCTCAGCAGCCTTTCACGGCAGATCTCACCCCCCCACCCCGAGACAGGCTGCACTGAAACTGCAGCGCCTAGCCACAGGAGGGGGAGCCCCATTTTACACGTGGGGAAACTGAGGCACAGAGAGGGATTGCGAGTGGGCTAAGTTCAGGCAGCCAGTCAGTGGCAGAGCTGGGGACCAAACTGGCTCCCAATCCCTTCTGTGCCCCCTAGACAATGGGGGCTTGGTAAGGGGCAGCAAAGCGGGTCTGGCTCTGGGCAGATTTCCTAAGCCCATGGTGGGAACAGGGCACGCACCGAACCTCAGCTCCTTGCAAGCCTCGGGACTCTGCCAGGAGCTCAGCTCCCATTGCCATCCCTGCACCGAGCTGGGGGCCAGGACCCATCTCCCAGTGCCAGCTCACCACTGACCTGCTGGGTGACCAGGGACAAGTTCCCTCCCTTGGCCTCAGTTTCCCCATCTGCCAGGGGATAATGCCTCCCCAGGGTAGGGGTCAATTCCTGTGGAGGGCTACGTGCCTCTCAGCCCAAGCACGCCCAGAAGTGCCTTCCCGTGGGCACATGACACACAGACACAAGCAAAGGACCTTCCTGTCTCTCCCCCCCCCCCCCGCTGCTGCTTCCCACCCCTAGATACACGTGCATTCTGGACCTGCCACCACATGCCCTCCTAGATTGTGCAAAGGAGCCTCTGGCGCGTGCGCGTCCCATAACGCTCCCTAACCCGAGCTGCCCCTTGCCCTCGGAGAGACCTGTAACAGCATTTACAGCGAAAGTAGCACATGGTGTTTACAGCTCATGTAGCGTGCTGTCCATGCGTGCAATAAAGATCCTAGCGAGTGCACTGGAGCTGGGGGGGTTGCCTACACCAGTTCCTCTTACTTCACTCACATGGCTGAGTTTGCACCCGGTACCGGCTGTGAAGGAAACAAAACCCCATGACAGAGGAGGGGAAGCCAGATGGGGAAGCAAAACTAGAAAGATGGAAGTCAGAGCCTGGTGCAAACAGCTGAGTCCCTCAACAAACCTCACCCTCACTCCCGAAAATGCTGGCCACACAGCTCGGCCTCACAGCAACCTGGCTGGGCCATTCCAGGTCCAGTCCAAGGCAGCTTGTCCACACGCCAGGGGCATGACGGGCCCACTGAGCCAGGGCACAGCCACCAAGCAGGGAAGGGACAGTGGGTGTGGCGGTACGAGGAGAGAGTTGCCTGCATTAGCCCAAACTCCTGGTGGAGACACGACTCTGGATTTTACTGGGACCTAGCGAGGGGAAGCCTGAGTGTGGGAGAAGACAGCGCCGCCCTTCCCTAGCCACGGCACGGTAGAAAGCCCTCGATTCCTAATGCAATGGCTAATGCGCTCGTTTGCCTGCTGTACATCCAACTTCCTTTAGCCATGGAGACCCAGCTGGGCCACAGGGCCCTTACAGAGGGGGTCAGCATCAGGTCATCCCACATAGTAACACCATGGTCAAACCCGCCCCAAGATAAGCGAGGTGGAGGGTGCCAGGGAGAGGCCAGTTTGGGCAGAGCGTGCCCACTAGGGACAGGACAGGAGACACCAAGCAGGTGCGCTGGGATCCAGGCAGCATCGCTGGGCTAGTCACATAAGTCTGTCTCTTCGCTCACTTGCTCATCACACTGGGACATGAATCATGCCCTCGGTAGCCAGGAGAAGACAGGCCACCAGCAGGAGTTGTGCCCATGCAGCACCACCCAGTAAGCCACACAACCCTGGGGAAGGGCAGCATCCACCATCACTACAGAAGGGGAAACTGAGGCACAGAGCTACCCTGGCCTGCCAAGGTGACAGGGCAGCTCAGGTCCAGAGCCAGGAACAGAACTCAGGTCCCCTGGTTCCGAATCCTGCGTGTCAGCTGCGAGGGCAGCCGTCCAGCTCACACGCTGGCCCGAGCAGAAGCGATGCAGAGCGGCACCCGGGTATGGGCACCTCCCGGTCAGTGCGAGGCGATGCCACCACAGGGGCCATTCAGGGCCAGGCTAGTGCACCCAGCAGGTCACGCTCGGCTCCAGTGCGAGCCGCACCGAACCCCCCAACCCCAGCGCCGGGCCCCTGTCCCGACCCCCCCAGCGCCGGGCCCCTGTCCCGACCCCCCCAGCGCCCGGCCCCTGTCCCGACCCCCCCAGCCCCGGCACCCTGGGCACAGCAGCCCCGACCCCCGGAGCGGGCGGGGACCCCCGGAGGCTGCCGAGCTGGGAGGGAAGCGGGAACCTGCCAGGGCAGGAAGGAGCCAGGCCGGGGGGGACACGTGCCAAGCCCGCGGGCTCCCGGGCTCCCGGCTCCGGCCCCCAGGGAAAGCCAGGCCGAAGGGGGGCCGTGAGGGCACCTAGGGCCCAGGCTCCGCCGCCGCCGCCGCCGCCCCCCAGCCCAGCCCAGCCCAGCCCAGCCCGGCCCCGGCCCCGGCCCCGCACCTGAGGCTGCACCGCACGAACCCGGCCCCGGCAGCTCCCGACAGTCTGCAGTTCAAGGGCCGCCCAAGCCCCCGTCCTGCCGCCAGCCCCGCCCACTCCCGCTGATTGGCCAAGGGGCGGGGCCTGACTCGCTCCTATCGGGCCATGGAGCCTGCTGAGGAAAGCGCGCCTCGCCCCGCGGGAATCCCCGGGAGGTCACGCGACGAGCCGGTCACATGACCCAGAGGGGCTGAGCACGTGCGGGGGGGGGGGTAGCGGAGCCCAGGCCCAGCGGGGGCACAAACCAACCCCCCAGTACAGCACTGCTGTGTGAAATGTAAACTACTCATCGATTCATCGATTGTAGGGCTGGAAGGGACCTCGAGAGGTCATCGAGTCCAGTCCCCTGCCCGCATGGCAGGACCAAATACTGTCTAGACCATCCCTGATAGACATTTATCTAACCTACTCTTCAATATCTCCAGAGATGGAGATTCCACAACCTCCCTAGGCAATTTATTCCAGTGTTTAACCACCCTGACAGTTAGGAACTTTTTCCTAATGTCCAACCTAGACCTCCCTTGCTGCAGTTTAAGCCCATTGCTTCTTGTTCTATCCTTAGAGGCTAAGGTGAACAAGTTTTCTCCCTCCTCCTTATGACACCCTTTTAGATACCTGAAAACTGCTATCATGTCCCCTCTCAGTCTTCTCTTTTCCAAACTAAACAAACCCAATTCTTTCAGCCTTCTGATATAAAATTATTCTGCTTAACTGCCAGGGGGCAAATTTGTCACGTACACATGGAAGAGATACAGCTATTGCTATGTCTTAACTCAGGAAATTCCTTCAAGAGGAAATGTAGCCAAACTCCAAACCTGGAGACAATGGACTTTTCTGTGCCTGCGTCCCGTAGATAAACAGCTTAGTTTGCAAAATAAGCAAGGAGGAGGGGGAAAATAGATGAACAATAAGGGGTCATAAGAGGGGCAGATACATGTAGCTTGCTAATTATGTATGGTAATGATGGCAAATTTTGGCCAATCATAGAGCGATAGATTATCATAAGCAACTGCATATAATACTTTGGTGTAAGTGTTTTCTTTGTTCTTGCTGACTTATGAGCTCGAACCCAATTGCAATTGAAATAAACGGATCGCCCCTCCCGGGGCTCCTTGCTTGGCTAGCTGTGTCCGTCTCTCCCTATTCCTCAGCTGGAACGGACAGAAATTTCTATGACACTTCCTTCATAGGTCATGTTCTCAAGACCTTTAATCATTCTTGTTGCTCTTCTCTGGACCCTCTCCAATTTCACCACATCTTTCTTGAAATGGGGTGCCCAGAACTGGACACAATACTCCAGTTGAGGCCTAACCAGCGCAAAGTAGAGCGGAAGAATGACTTCTCGTGTCTTGCTCACAACACACCTGTTAATACATCCCAGAATCATGTTTGCTTTTTTTGCAACAGCATCACACTGTTGACTCATATTTAGCTTGTGGTCCAGTATAACCCCTAGATCCCTTTCTGCCATACTCCTTCCTAGACAGTCTCTTCCCATACAGACTGATTTTTCCTTCCTAAGTGGAGCACTTTGCATTTGTTTTTGTTAAACTTCATCCTGTTTACCTCAGACCATTTCTCCAATTTGTCCAGATCATTTTGAATTATGACCCTGTCCTCCAAAGCAGTTGCAATCCCTCCCAGTTTGGTATCATCTGCAAACTTAATAAGCGTACTTTCTATGCCAATATCTAAGTCGTTAATGAAGATATTGAACAGAGCCGGTCCCAAAACAGACCCCTGCAGAACCCCACTCGTTATGCCTTTCCAGCAGGATTGGGAACCATTAATAACAACTTTCTGAGTACGGTTATCCAGCCAGTTATGCACCCACCTTATAGTAGCCCCATCTAAATTGTATTTGCCTAGTTTAGTTTTTTACTCAAAAAAGGGGAACTTAAAAAAAAAAAGATTTGACAAGGTAAGGAAACTGTTTCTGTGCTTGTCATTTAAATGAAGATGGTTAAAAGCAGCATTTTTCTTCTGCACAGTAAAGTTTCAAAGCTGCAATAAGCCAGTGTCCAGCTGCAAACTTTTGAAAGAACAACCAGAGTGTTTTGTGCAGAGTTACGAACATTTCAGATTCACACATTCCCGAGGGGGTCGGCACCGCTGAGGTTCTACTGTAGTCAGGAATGAGCCGGCTCCCTGGTGTTGCCAACTCTTGTGAATTTATCACAAGGGATGCAGTTTTCAGAGCTAACGTCTTCTGTTTTCATGTGACCGGAGGAGAACCCCTCCCCCTCCCTCCGCTGAGCTGGAGCCCTGGAATCCAGTCACTGCTGTGACAAGGCTCAGCCGGATCCCTCGGGATGGGAGGATGACTATCAGTCACCTATTCTGCAAACAGCTAAGATCCTGCATAGGGTCACTGCAGGCAGGGCTGGGAAGAGAGCCGGTACGGTGCCCCCAGAACCTGCCAGTGCTGGTGCGGGTGCCCCATTAACCTCCCATGTGCTCCCCACCCTGCTAGTTGCCTGATTTTAATGGGCTTTTTTCCAAAGAGCTGATCGTGTTGGGTGCTGAACCTTTAGAGATCTGGCCTGGGGACTGGTCCCCTCCCCCCCGTCTTGGCACTTTCGCCTGCTCAGCTTTCTTCTAAATGCACTTGACCTGAAAGAATGTTCCGCTTCCAACTCCCCCAGCCCCCCTGCCGCGGAAACCTGTGGGCGCTGGCAATCTCTGTGAGAAAGCAGAAGTGCGAGAGGCCGCAGGAGTGGCTGGGTTGGGGATCTCACAGCCTCCTGGCTGCTGGGGGACAAACTGAGAGGCCAGGGAGAATCAGAGCTCACTAGAGCCCTGCTCTGCAGCCTCAGACAAATCTTCCTGCAGAGTGGTCCTGGGTGGGGCTGGGTATGGAAGAGGGACTTCAAAGGGGGGAATTTTTCGTTCCATGTCCTGATTTTCCAGCGAGGGTTCTTTGTGTAACTAGCATGATGTGGGAGAGTGGGGTGACATGTCATGCTGTCCGGAGTGGCCCACGACCATGAGTGCCTTCCTCAGGGCAGACTGTGAGAAAACAGAGCAGACACCCACAGCTGGTGGTGTGGTTTCTAATTAGATTTCTCCAGTCTATCTTGCTACCTCGACAAACTGAACTTTGGGATAAAAGGTCACACCAAAAATCACAGCACACTCAGGTTGCTTCCAGTCACTTACCCCAGATCCATTGGTACCCTAGATCTTACGCCAAAGACAACACCTGTAATAAACTCTGGCTATATCTATACTAGAGACCTGTACCAATGCTGTGCGGCTGTGAGATCGCTGTGTAGTTGCTCTACGCTGATGGGAGAGAGCGCTCCCGGCGACGTAATTAAACCACCTCCAGCGAGTCGCGGTAGCTGCGTCGGCGGGAGAAGCTCTCCTGCTGCCATAGCGCTGGGCACACTACCACATCTATCGTTCGGGGGGGGGGGGGTTCACAGTTCTGCCCATGGGCAGCAAGAATAATAGGCTGCCCCCAAGGGACACCTGGGCAGCGGTGGCCCCGCCCCTTCTCTGAGGCCCCCTCACCCACTGCCAGCTGCTGCTGCCACCTGCCTACCTTCACTCCACCTCCCCCCCCCCCCCTGGTCCCTGCTGCTCGCCGTGTCACTTCTCCTCGGGGGCGGGGGTCTGGTGGGGAGTGAGACGGCTCGGACGGGCACTGGGGCTGCTGGCTCGGGGGGGTCTGGCTCGCTCAGGTGAGGGGCAGGGCAGAGAGGTTCGGCACTCCGGGGTGGTCGGCTCGACTTGGCGGTGCTGGGGCCGGCCCAGCGTGGCGCTCCATGGGGGGGAGCAGTTCGGCCTGTTGCAGGGGGAGCGGCCTGGCGTGGCGCTCAGCCCAGTGCTGGGGCTGGGGGGGCTGGCCTAGGGTGGCTGGGGTGGGTGAGCCGGGGCTCCTCTGGTCGTGGGGGGAGGGCTCAGGACTCCTCCTGTTATGGGGGAGGAGTTTCGGGGCTCCGGCATGCGGGGGGCAGGGCCTTGAGCGGAAGGGGTGGGGCCGGCAGGTTAGCCTCCCCAAAGTGGGGGTTCACCCTCCGCCCATGGTTTTGCCAACGTACGTGGTAGTGCAGACATGGCCTAGCTAAATGTTTGTTAACTAGGAGAAAGAAATAGGAGAGTTATTGGCAGGTTAAAACTAGCCAACATAGACACACCGATGCGTGCAGAATGCAGAGTTGTAGTGATCTGTCAATTCACAGTGTGTTTCAGGGCAGGCCGCCCAGGAGCTTACCCCGGGGATCTCTGGCTTCAGTCTGAGGTCTCTAGCCCTGTCAGAGTTCAAATGGGGAAGAGGTGGGAAACTGTCCTGTGTCTCTGTGCCTTCATTCAGCTTACAGGTCCATAGGACAAGCTTCCTTGGAGGATAGGGCCATTAGCCAAGCCTTTGTATTGGGATGTTCCCTGACGGCCCATCTGCTGTTGATAGTCCTGGAGGGGCAGAGAGGTGATCCCTGTGCCTGGGCTCACAAGTTAAGAGCAAACATTTTCACAGTGATAAAGACAAAGGTAGATATTTCCTCATCGCCTGGAAAGCCACATTCCCAGCGAGTTCCCTGCAGGCAGCAACGTACACACATTTCACAGAGTCTAACCACTCAATACCTTCTTGTAGGACTAATCCCTATTTTGAGCAAAACTAGCACACAGGTGACCTGGTCTGGTCTCCAGCTACGAGGGTGTCAGTTCTTAGCTAATGCCTGCAGCCTGGGCAAGAGCTGGCACCTGCCTGCCAGCATCACGCCCCCAATGCTAAACTGGTGTGTGACGGGGTGTCATGGACGCTCCAGAACAAACCTCGTTCTCCCCCATTCTCGATAAGGCAGCAGCCACTGCATTCTCCTTTCCCTTGATATGAATTACTTCCATGTCAAATCCACGGAGGGCTACGTGCCAACGAAGAAATCTCGACTCATTTCCCTTGGCTCAGGGCAGCCATGTCAAAGGGGCGTGACCGCTTAGCACAGTGAATTGTTTATTACACAAAGAAGGTTGAAGATGCGTAACAGCCCAGAGAGTGGCCCAGCTCTCTGCCTCCATGACAGCCTAATTCAGGT